AATATATATATATATATATATATATATATATATATATATATATAAGCCTGGGTCAACTCAAAGTATATATATATATATATATATATATATATATATATATATATATATATATATATATATATATATATATATATATATATATATATATATATATATATATATATTATATATATATATATATATATATATAAGCCTGGGTCAACTCAAAGTTGACAGCGATTATTTTTTACACCATAAAAAGTCGACATAAAAAATTTTCTTTTTAAACTCAGGCCTTGATTTAAATAAAAAAGTGTTTAACGCATTAGCTTAACGTGATATTGACGTCATAAAATTATCTTTATTTTTTTTTATAGACGTTAAGTATTTTAACTACCGCAATAAATAAATAACCGCTAACTAGTTCAATTTAACAATTAACTCAAATAACTATAAAGTCTTAAATGTAAATTTATAATAAAAAGTTTGTAATATTTTCAATTGGTATTTTATTATTAATATTAGTTCAATATTATTTAGTAAAGAAAAAAAAAAATATATATATATATATATATATATATTTTAATTATTTCTGAAATTTGTTTTTGAATAATTATTGTTTATAAATCGTTATTAAATAAAAAATAATGATTTTTTTTTATTTTTAAAAATTTCTGGAGTAAACAAAAAATATTAACATTGATTCACAAATACCTATGTTAATTATTTAAACAGCGATTTTGTTTTGACTAACAAAGAATATTTTAAGTTTTTAAATATTTTTTTAAATTTATCTTGCTTAGCGTTTCAACTCGCGTTATATAAAAATATATAAACGTTTTGTCTGCTTTGAGCATATTTTTGATACATAGTTTAGAACGCGTTCGCCAGGAGTTAAATTCATAAATTATTTATGTTATTGTAAAATTGTTTTACATTTTAAATAAATCACAAAGTAACAGAGCTATAGAGAGATATCGTTTTTAACAATTAAATCTTTTTTTTTTTTAATTTTAGGAAATTAAAAAAAAAATTGAATTAAATATAAAAGTTTTATTTATGCAAACTCTTTTGTTAATTATTCTTAAAACAAAAAACAAATACTTTTACGCAAAACATTAATCGTGCAAAAAATACTCAACTAAAATAATAATAGTATATTTAATAATTTGAATCGTATCTGTTTATAATAAACGTTCGTAAAAATTTGTTTATTCGAAATTAAGTTCCTTAACTTATAAACAAACTCAAAAGTATATTCATTCTACGTATAATTACAAAAAAAAAACTCTTTTTTTTCTTCGTTTGTAAGCAATTTAACTTAATAAAATAAAAAAAGAATAAATATGAGGTAATCTTTGTTAAGAACAAATTTAATTTATTTATTAAACTATATTTTTATTTTTATTTATATATATCAACTTAAATTAAATATAGTAACATATTAAAATATTTTAACATGACTTGTGTTATTTATAAACCGTAGGGCAGCCCTTACGGCACAATTGTTTTTTAATTGATAATATTTTATTTTGATGAAGATCACATAACTTACATTTGATTTTAATAACGTAAGTCTTCTCTTTTTCTGTGATCATCGCATCAGCAAAGTCCCAAGATTTAAAAGTTTTTAAAGGAAATCTTTTGTCCTTCAAAATACAATCCATATTGGAACTTTAAACAATTTAAAGAGAATAGAAATATAAAAGATTTTTATATACTAGTTTGTCTTGTTTTATAAAGAAAAATACGTATTCATTAATAAAAATTTTTTATGTCGACTTTTTACACCATGAAGAAAAAAAAACTCTTTTTTTTCTTCGTTTGTAAGCAATTTAACTTAATAAAATAAAAAAAGAATAAATATGAGGTAATCTTTGTTAAGAACAAATTTAATTTATTTATTAAACTATATTTTTATTTTTATTTATATATATCAACTTAAATTAAATATAGTAACATATTAAAATATTTTAACATGACTTGTGTTATTTATAAACCGTAGGGCAGCCCTTACGGCACAATTGTTTTTTAATTGATAATATTTTATTTTGATGAAGATCACATAACTTACATTTGATTTTAATAACGTAAGTCTTCTCTTTTTCTGTGATCATCGCATCAGCAAAGTCCCAAGATTTAAAAGTTTTTAAAGGAAATCTTTTGTCCTTCAAAATACAATCCATATTGGAACTTTAAACAATTTAAAGAGAATAGAAATATAAAAGATTTTTATATACTAGTTTGTCTTGTTTTATAAAGAAAAATACGTATTCATTAATAAAAATTTTTTATGTCGACTTTTTACACCATGAAGAAAAAAAAACTCTTTTTTTTCTTCGTTTGTAAGCAATTTAACTTAATAAAATAAAAAAAGAATAAATATGAGGTAATCTTTGTTAAGAACAAATTTAATTTATTTATTAAACTATATTTTTATTTTTATTTATATATATCAACTTAAATTAAATATAGTAACATATTAAAATATTTTAACATGACTTGTGTTATTTATAAACCGTAGGGCAGCCCTTACGGCACAATTGTTTTTTAATTGATAATATTTTATTTTGATGAAGATCACATAACTTACATTTGATTTTAATAACGTAAGTCTTCTCTTTTTCTGTGATCATCGCATCAGCAAAGTCCCAAGATTTAAAAGTTTTTAAAGGAAATCTTTTGTCCTTCAAAATACAATCCATATTGGAACTTTAAACAATTTAAAGAGAATAGAAATATAAAAGATTTTTATATACTAGTTTGTCTTGTTTTATAAAGAAAAATACGTATTCATTAATAAAAATTTTTTATGTCGACTTTTTACACCATGAAGAAAAAAAAACTCTTTTTTTTCTTCGTTTGTAAGCAATTTAACTTAATAAAATAAAAAAAGAATAAATATGAGGTAATCTTTGTTAAGAACAAATTTAATTTATTTATTAAACTATATTTTTATTTTTATTTATATATATCAACTTAAATCAAATATAGTAACATATTAAAATATTTTAACATGACTTGTGTTATTTATAAACCGTAGGGCAGCCCTTACGGCACAATTGTTTTTTAATTGATAATATTTTATTTTGATGAAGATCACATAACTTACATTTGATTTTAATAACGTAAGTCTTCTCTTTTTCTGTGATCATCGCATCAGCAAAGTCCCAAGATTTAAAAGTTTTTAAAGGAAATCTTTTGTCCTTCAAAATACAATCCATATTGGAACTTTAAACAATTTAAAGAGAATAGAAATATAAAAGATTTTTATATACTAGTTTGTCTTGTTTTATAAAGAAAAATACGTATTCATTAATAAAAATTTTTTATGTCGACTTTTTACACCATAAAAAGTCGACATAAAAAATTTTCTTTTTAAACTCATTTTTCACTAACAGATGTTGCGTAGATTAAGTATTTGTATAGAAAATATTTTTAAGTTTATTTCTCATTTTTACATATATTTATATTTAAAAATTTATAAAAACATAGAAATATTAAAATACAAGTCTATATATTTGTTATTGACTTGACGTAAGATTTACGAGTAGAATAAGTCTACCTATAGTTAAAAAATAACATATTATATAATGTCCTAATATTATTTTTGTTTTTAAACTGATCGTATATTATTTTAACTAAATAGTTTATCTACATTTTAAACAAAAACTATAATAAATATATCTTTATATTTCAAACAAAAAATGCAATCTCTTAACTATCAACCTATAGATTGTATATGTAACACAAGTAAACATACGCGCTCTTAAAAAAATTATTGTTTATAGTTTTCCGCGTTTTTTTTTTGTTAATGTCATAGAAATCTCTTGAGTATAATTATACTCAAATTAAATTTATATACTCAATTTAACTCAAATTAAAATTATATACTCAAA